CAGAAATTCCCAGGCTTTGATATTTTAGTTTAGTGGTGACCATTATATTCATTTTCATCATGAGAAAATCTAAGTTATTTTGGGTACAGGTTCAAGGTTACATGATGAGGGCATGAACCCCATCCCTGAACTCACTAGCAAACTTGAAACATAATTAATGAGCAGTAGTTGAGCATAGAGATGAGATAGGACAAAAGTCATACCTTTATTGTACAGGTAACTTGCCAAATAGACTTCAACCTTTTGACAATGACCTTCATTTCCTCATTCCTCAACCTGAATTTATGCAGCTTATTTTTCTTTTCTTGCTTAAAGTGTTATCCTGCATGATCATGGGCACCGAGATTGTCAGAGTTCCCCATATTGTCCACGGCCAAATCCACAGGTCTGTTCTCTGTCCTCATTTTACTCGAATTATCTGAACAGGTGACACAGTTGATCAATCCCTCCTCCTTGAAACACTTTCTTTACTTGATCATTTGGGGGCATCACATTCTCTCCATTTTCCTGCTACATCTCTGGCCGTTCCTTTCCATTGTCATCTGTTTGTTCTTCATCTTTACAGCAGCTTAACATTTGGAGGCCAAACCAAGCTCCTGATCGTTCCCCTACACCTGTTGTGATCCTGTTTTCCTGCCTGAAGAAATGCAGCTTTTTCTTTCCAGTGGCTCACACTAAAAACTTGGAGTCATCACTGACTCCTCTTTCCTCTCACAGTCTACCTCCTATTTGTCAGGAAATTGTATTTGAAATGTATCCATGACGTGAACTCTCTCACCACCTCCACTACTCCTCCTCGTGGCCAACCCAACATGACTTCTTCCTGGAAGCTACTACCGGTAGCTTTCTCCCTGTTCCTTCCCTTGTATCTATAAAGTATACCCATAACACAGCAGAGTGAGCCTTTAAAATATATCACCTTATGTTCCTTCTTTGCTTAAAATTCTCCAATAGCCCCCATCTCACTCAGAGTAAAATAAACAAACAAAAACAAAAAACAAAGAACAGTCCTTATAGTGACTTACAAGGTCTTCCATGACCTGGCACCTAAAACTTTTTGATTTAATCTCCTTCTACTCTTCCAGGTCTAACACCTCTCCAGCCACACATCTCCTTTCTGTTTCTCTGACATTCCAGGAATGCTCCTGACTTGGGAATTTTAAACTATTCCCTCCATTAGCAGCGCTCTCCCTCTACTGAGCCACATGACTCACTCCCACATCACCCTCTGGTCTTTGCTCAAATATCACCTAATCAGAGAAAACTTCCCCAACCAACTTAAAATTGCAACCATATCCCTCATCTGAGCACCCTCTTCCTTTTTCCTGTTTAATTTTTTCCCGTAGCACATATCATCATTTACTTGTTTACTGATGTTCTCCCTCTCATCCACAAAACGTAGGCTTCATGTATACAGGGATTTTTTTTGTGTTTTCTTTATGGCTATATGCCTGATGCTGAGAATAGTATTTGGTTCACAATGGGCCAGAAAAATATTAATAAATATTTTGAGTGAATGGTCATATTTTTTCTCCAAGCGATGTGATGAAACATATCTCCAGTAAAGCTCAAGCACAAGGCTCTGAGGAAACTGTCTCCATGACCACTTATCTGTTTACACCACCCCAAAGAACAATAGCCTGTATTATTTTGCTTTACTTTGTTGCAATTCTCTTATATATCATGTCCTTGTATAATGTATAAGCATGTTCCTGTATCAGGCAACAGGTGTCCCTTCCCATTTACTTTGCTCTGTTTTCCCTCCATCATGTGGTTTCTTCACCATAGTATAGTCTGTTCTTTCTGTTTTTTAAAACATATTTTATTTCTTTATTTGAGAGAGAGAGAAAGAGAATATGTGAACATGAGCAGGAGAAAGGGTGGAGGAAGAAGCAGACTTCCCACTGAACAGGGAGTCTGATACAGGGCTCATCCAGGACCCTGGGATCATGACCTGAGATGAAGGTAGATGCTTAACTGACTCAGCCACCCAGGCACCCCTAGTCTGTTCTTTCTAAAGAGGAAAACTCCTAACTAAAATGTGAATACATCTTAGAGTTGGCCTATACATCAGAGATAACTATAAAGTAGTGACACTGAAGCAGATTTTTTTTATTGTAAAAAAGAAACTTTTGAAAAACCAAGAGCCATTTTTCCCTCCATTCTTGACCTTGAGAAAACTGGGCTGGTTAGAAGAAGTATTATCACCTAATTTGAGTCTATCAAAAGGAAAGAATGAGACTTAGCAAATTTTTTTAAAATTTTTATTTATTTATGATAGTCACACACACAGAGAGAGAGAGAGAGAGAGAGAGAGAGAGAGAGAGGCAGAGACATAGGCAGAGGGAGAAGCAGGCTCCATGCACCGGGAGCCTGACGTGGGATTCGATCCCGGGTCTCCAGGATCGCGCCCTGGGCCAAAGGCAGGCGCCAAACCGCTGCACCACCCAGGGATCCTGAGACTTAGCAAATTATAGTAGGAATGGAATGGGGCTTACACCTGAATTGAAAGTGTCAACTGGGCATATTAGTTACTAATTTGGGATATGAAATGTTTTAAATAACAACATTTAAATATCTGTATGCTATTCTATTGGGAAACCTCAGTTATATTCTTCTCACTCTGCATGTCAAATGTCAGAGGCAGCAAAATAGCCAGGATGGATCTGCAATGTCTATACTTAATGTACTCTAATTGGAATGTTTGGAATGGTTTCTACTGGTCACAGATACTGAGAATTCCCGTTACAGTTGATGCATATGGTCATTTACAGTACCTCAATGTAGCTTGGTTCACTGACCATGATTTACATAACTTGCAGTTTCTGCCTAATTGACTCATTCTCTCAATCCTTGAATCATCTAAAGCTTCCTTAGTAGTTTCACCTGCATTTTGTCCTCTAGTCCAGGACTTTCCTGTTTATTCCTTTAGCTCACAGAGGAAACATGACCCAGTTAACATCACTATGTATCACCCCAGTCACCATGTTCTTGCTCCAGATTCTGTTTGAGGTAATACCAGCACCTCCAGCCTTTTTTCAGAGTTAGATCTCCTTAAAGCTTTGTCCTTCTCACTCTTCAACACCCAGGGCCCTAAAACTGCTCCTAGGAGCAGACGATATACACTAAGGCCCCAAACAGCTTTGCCCTACACTTAATTTTCATAGACCTCTCTTTAGCCTCCTTATCTCATCTAAGGAGGAAAGGAAGACAGTGAAGAAACAGCAACAAAAGTCACAGCCCAGGGATGTAGGCCCACTGAAAGACTGAGGTTTAGTAATAAGGTTATAGAATGCTCCCCCTCTTCCATGCTTACCCCCATTACTGCCACCAACAGGTCTTCAGTATAATAACAGTGACCTACAGCTGAAACAGTTGCAAGACACAGGGTTTCTCTAAGATGAAGTACTTAAGATAGCCAAAAGTTAACAAGGGAGACAAAACAAGGATGTAAGAGAAATTGGAAGTCTCTGGAACCAATTGCTGCAGCAAATATTAAACACAGTACAACTTCCAGCTAGATTAAAATAAAACTTCACACTACAGGCCTACTACCTGATACATCATGTCAAGCTTTCAACAAAAAAAGTACAAAGCAAAACAAGCAAACAAAAAACACAGCCTGAAGAAAGAGAGCAAGCATCAGAACCAGATTTAGATATGACACAGTTACTAAAATTATTAGGGGATTGAAAATAATTATGTTTAATATATTAAGGACTCTAATGGAAAAAAAAAGACTAGTCAACATGCAAAACAAGTGAGTAATGTAAGCAAAGAGATGAAAACTGGACATGAATGGGAAAGGAGTTAGTGAGCTTTCAGATATGTCAATAGAAACTTCCCAAACTTTCCAAACAGAGGAAAGACAAAAGGAAATGAAGTAAAACAGAACATCGAAGAACTGTGGGACAATTACAAAAGATGAAAGATATGCATTGTTGGAATATCTGAAGGAGAAGAAAGGGAGAATGGAATAGAGAAAATATCTAAAGGGATAATGGCCAAGAAGACACCAAATCACAGACTCAGGAAGCTCGAGAATACGAAGTTGGATGAATATCTAAAGCTATACACCTTGGCATATAATATTCGAATTTCAGAGAATCAATAACCAAGAGAAAATCCTTAAAGAAGCCAGAGAAAGGGGTGCCTAGGTGGCTCAGTCGGTTAAGTATCTGACTTTTGATTTCCACTCAGGTCATGATCTCAGAGTTGTGAGATCGAGACCCATGTTGGGCTCCACACTGTGTGTGGAGCCTGCTAAAGATTCTCTCTCTCCCTTAAGATTCTCCCTCTTCCCTCCCCCAACTTACTCTCTTCTCTCTCCAAAGAAGAAGAAGAAGAAGAAGAAGAAGAAGAAGAAGAAGAAGAAGAAGAAGCAGCTAGAGAAACAGAACACCTTACCTATAGGGAAACAAGGATACAATTTACATTGGACATCTCATCAAATACCATGCAAAGCAACAAGAGAGTAGGATGAAATATCTAAAATGTTCAAAGGAAAAAAAATCCATCAACCCAGGTTTCTATATCCCTCAAAACTATCATTCAAAAGTGAAGGAGATTATGTGAATGAAAAACAAACCACAGACTGGAAGAAAATATTTGTCCATTTTTTTTCATTGTCAATGGCAATTTTATTATAGTTAATTTATAATTCCCATTTTCCATGATAGTCAAGCTTATTCAGAGAAATAAACCAGAATTGCAAGGTCAAGAAGCACTGCAAATATTCTTTCTCACATGATATTCAAGACTAAGTATCTATTCAACTAAATTCAAAAAGTTGATGATATAAACTTTGGCAGTTTTCAAGAAACATTGGGCAATCCATAGTTAAATCTCAATGCATCAGTTAATACCTGGGCACCTCCTCTTGCAGTTAGCATTGCATTGGGGTAAAGACAACTGGTTTGACTCAATAAATTTTTAAAATATATATTTGATACTTATGGCATTATTCACAGAGTTCTTGGCAAAGTTGTATTTTGAGGTTTCTATTGCCGAGAAACTTGTGGTTCATGGTGTGTCTTTTTCATTCCCAAAAGCTTCATTTTGAATTCCCCGGGCTTTGGTGGAATTTCAAGTATTGTCAGGTCCAGCCTATGGTACCTCTGCACCCCTTTGGCCTCGGCACACATGGTCAGGAGGCTAGCAGCAAACGTTTTCAGGAAGGTGGCCCAAGACACACCTGCAGGCATGGTCAGTGGACATGGAGTGCACTGGCACTCAGTAGCAGGTCCTGAGAGAAAATATTTGTAAAACACATGTCAGATAAAGGACTTGCAGCCAAAATACACAAAGAACTCTTAAAACTCAAGGATAAAAAAACAACCCAGTTAAAAAGTAAGCCAAAACTTCTCTTTTATCATACCCACCAACATGGACTGTGTTTGCACCAAAACTATGAAGGTGGCAGCCCAAGTCATAATTGAGGAGTACCACATGTGCCTGGACAACTTCCACAACAACAAGCGCTTATGCAAGGAGATTGCCATTATTCCTAGTAAGAAGCTCTGTGACAAGATAGTAGACAGTGTCACACATCTGATGAAGCGGATTCAGAGATCCTGGGGAGAGGATCTCCATCGACCTGCAGGAGGAGAGAGAATTATGTTCCTGATTTCTCAGCCCTGGATCAGGAGATAGTTAAAGTAGATCCTGACACTAAGGACATGTTGAAACTCGACTTTGGTGGTGTGTTCAATCTACAGATCACTCACCCTATAGTTGGGATGAATTTCAAAACACCACGTGGAGCTGTTTGAATCTTTCTGCTGGACTGTAATATCTCTAGTAAATCTCAGACAACTACAAGAACAAAAAGTGGGCCAAAACCTGAACAGATACTTCATCAAAGATGACATACAGATGGAAAATAGGCATATGAAAAGATGCTCAACATATGTCTTTAGAGAATTGCAAATTGAAACAACAATGAGACCTCACTACACACCTTTTTGATGAAAATCCAAAACACTGGCAACATCAAATACTGACAAGGATGTGGATCAGCAAGAACTCTAATTCATTGCTGGTGAGAATGCAAAATAGCACAACCACTTCAGAAGACAATTTGGCAGCTTCTCACAAAGCTAGCCATAGTCTACCATATGACCCGGCAATTGTGCTCCTTGATATTTACCCAAATAAATTGAAAACTCACAGAAATGTTCACAGAAATGTTTATTCATAATTGCCCCAAAAGTCCTTCAATAGGTGAATGGACAAAGTATAGTGCATCCAAACTATGGTATATAGATTCAGTGATAAAAAGGAATGAACTATCAAGCCATAAAAAGACAGGGAGGAACCCTAAATGCTAATTATCAAGTGAAAGAAGTCAAACTGAAATGGCTACATATTGTATGATTCCAACTGTATGACATTTTGGAAAAGGCAAAAATAGAGACAATAAAAAGATCAATGGTTGCCAGGGGTTTGGGAAGATGGGAAGAAATAAAGAGAGAACAATGAATAAATAAAACACAAGAGTCTTTTAGGACAATGAAACTATTCTGTATGTCATAATGGTGGATATATGTCCTTATACATTCATCAAAACCCCCAAATTTGTACAATACAAAGAGTGACCCTTAGTGTAAACTATGGACTTTAGTTAATAGAAATGTATTGACACTGATTCATCAATGGTGGTAAATGTACCACATCAATGCAAGATGTTAATAACAGAGGAAACTGTGTGGGTGAGAAGTAAGGGGATATATGAGAATTCTGTACTTTCCAGTCAATTTTTCTCTAAACCCACAACTGCTCTAGAAAATAAAATCTGTTAATAAAAGACAAAAAGTGAAGGAGAATAAAGGCCTTGTCGGACAAACAAAACCTCCAACCAGAACCAGCTTTCAGAACCAGCTTCTGAAAGTGATGTAGCCTGCTGGGTTTGGGGGACATTTGGCTGACTATAGAAATTTAGCATACTGAGATGTGAAGATACTTCGCCACTTTGCTGAGGGTGAAAAAGTAATTAGGAGGCCTGATTAAGAAAGGTAAAGATGAAAAAAAAAAAAAAAGAAAGGTAAAGATGTCTGTTTTATCAGCAGAGAGTGAAGACTAGCCTTTGCTGGTATGAGACTGATTCTGTGCTAGGTGCTCAACATGTAGTATTACTCCCTCCCTCCCTCCCTCACTCACTCCCTTCCTTCCTTCCTTTAAAGAATACACAATGTCCTTAAAGAATTTCCTTTCTACTAGAGACTGACAGTTCCAGGAGAGTCCAGTGTTGTAAGGTCATGTACCTGTGATGAGGAGATTACAAGGTATGGTGCCAGCACATGAGAGGGTGCATATCCAGCCTTCCTCCTATGCACAGGAGGAAACTCCTGTGGAAGGTGATCTCTATATTAACCTGAAGAATGAGTGGCAATTAGATAAGGGGGAGGGAGGCAGAGAGAGGGAAGTCAATTCCAGGTAGAGGAAACAACTTCCGTGAAGGCCCAGAGTTGAGTGAAAGTCAACAGAATTCAGTATAGAGAGAATTTACAGTGCCAGAACAATGAAGACCAAATATGATGCCAGAGTGGTAAGAAAGGATCAGATCTTAGCCAGCCAGGGTAAGAAATATCCTGAGGGCAGTGAGAAGCTGTGTAAGGAGGGGAGTGAACCCAAAGGACTTGCTCTTCCCAAAAGTCTCTCTGAATGGAGTGTGGCGAATGGCCAACCTTAGAGACAAGACACTCTTGTGATGAAATAGGCATGGAATGGCGGGACCCAAACCGGTGATGGAGATATCACTAGGAAGCTTCAAGGGAGCTGGAATCAAGAGCTGAAGCTTTGCAGTTTATTTGATTGGAGAGTGATGATGAAGAGAAAGAAATTTGAGAGACTTCTAAGTTTTCCAGTGACACATGATGGTATCTTCAGCTGAGTAGAAAACAGATCTGTGAGGTGAGAGAGAAGAAAAATGTCTCCGTTTGGAACATTTGGTCTGAAGAGCCTGTGGTACATGGGATAGAGTGTGCGGTTGTGAAACTTGGAAAAGAAATTTGGGCCAGAGAGGAAAGACCTGGAAGTTGCCAGCATAAAAGTAGTCTTTAAGTGGGAGATTTACTTTGACAACAATCATTAAGGCAGATATTTCTCTCCCTGTTTTCAGAAGAAGTAACCAAGGTTTGGAAAGCATAAATAACTTGCTCAAAATCAGTGAGGGAATGGTGGAGTCAGGATTTTCAACCTGTATATTTCCACTACACAGCACTGTTTCTGGGTAACTGCACTGTTTCTGAGTAAGCTGGTTGTGTTGTTCTATGGAATTCTCCCCATTTCCATCAGCGAATTCTGAAACATACTCCTACTCGTCGCAGGAACTCACCTGGAGAAATGTCACTGTGCACAGCTCAAATGATCCTTTTTGGAATCTAAGGCAAAACACATCAACTTCTCTATGACAGTTCCCTTTCATCTTGGTCTATGAAAGCAGCCCTGAGTGTCCTTCCAAGCCAGACCCATAGTGGGTGACAACCCTTGCCATTATGTTAACAATCTGCCTCTTCATGCACTAACCTGACCATTGAACCTATCAGATAAGTGGTGGCAGAAACAGACAATCCATTTCACTTGCCGATACAAGGCTACCTCCTGGACTGCTGGCTCTGTGTTTGGCTACCCATCCCCCTTCCTGGGACACCCACGTCTCCCTCAACCTGACCCATAAACTCCACCTCCTTTCTTAGTCCAGATAGCACTGGAATTGAAGCCTTTTCTTGTTTTCCATTCAGAGGGAAGCTGGATGGTCTTTTGATGACCTCATCTCTCTTGGCATCTCCTTTCACCCCCATCTCCCAGGCACTGTCATTTTCATTTGCATGGCCTCTGGGGTCTTCAGCTATGGGGGGACCTGCTTCATAGCTGACACCAAGGCTCAAGCTCTAACCTCTCACACTTTCTCATATAACATCTCATCTGCTGGTGGAATACATTTGTTTGTGATTACAGGCTGCTTACAATACCATTGCACAGGGCCTTATGTTATGGCCCAGCGCCATGAGAAAACACATTAGTAATTTTTTATGACCCTAGAGCAACCATGCAGGATTTCCCTAAAACAGAAAACATGAAGGGATTTTATTGTCTTGCACTATTAGGCATCCCTTATGGCTGGTGCATGTATATTAGAACTAACAGAACACAGGATTTTCCAGACATTTTGGGCTGAGAGGTTTCTGACTCTAATTAGTGAACACCCCTTGTTTATCTGTTCTGGGAGACATAAAACACACAAGGAAATTACCAACAAAAGGCATCAAGGATTTGAACGCTTCTCTTGATGTATTAACTTACTCCTGGGCTTAAAAGAGATGCTCTTAGTAAGCCACTTCTGAAAGTAACTGAAATGATAAAAATTGGAAGAGATCGGTAAATTCTCAGGGATTCTCATGGCACTTCTTTGAAAAATAGCATACAGCATGGACTTCTCATTAGATGGAGACATAATCTGGCTCTCCTATAGGGTGGCTCTTTCTCTCTCTCTCTTTTTCTTTCTCTCTGTCTCTCACACACACCATCCAATAAAAATGTCTAAAAAGAGAATAGTGGACTTTCATTTGGCCTTAAGAATAAATACATATATTAATTTGATAAAAAATTCTATTTTTGGCACTGTTATTGGTGTTCAATGTCTACCCAGGAGTTTTTGATAAAGTAGCAGGAGAGAACTTGAGAGCTTCTAGCCCTCTCAGAGGAACTACATTGGAACATTTTAATTACTTTTTTATGAAGGACAAACTCACTCTGAATTTGGCAGCTCTTAGAGGCCTCTCCACCCAGCTGGGAGCGTGTTCCCAAGTGTCCAGGGAGTGAAGGTAAGTCAGCCAAGAGTATGAAAAAACAACAGACACCATGGAGGCAGTGAACAAACCCTATCTAATAAAAGAACTTAAATTAGAAAAATTGGAAAAAAATAAGATTTCCTTTTTAATACAGTGTTAGTAGATAGCATGATGGTGTCAACTCTTTAAACTCCACATGGATGTATGACAGCTACCTTTCCCAACTGTCTGTCAGCCTTCAAATACATGCATCCATGGAGTGGCAAAGGGTGAGAGCCTGGCTGAGCATTTTTTTAAGGTTTTATTTATTTATTTATTGAGGCGGGGAGGGGCAGAAGGAGAGAGAGTCTTAAGCAGACTCTGCACTGACTGTTGGATTGATGCAGAGCTCGGATCCCATGACCCTGAGATCACAGCCTGAGCCGAAACCAA